CTATTATTGCTCTCGTGAGCAAGTGAGCTTTTGCACCTCGTTTTTGTTTGCTGCAGAACTTCAGAATAGCTTTGAGAGAGCTACACGCTTTTTTGGTCCACTACTTGAGCCTTTTGGTCCGGGTACTGCACCGTGGAATCAGAATGACGTTGAAAGGGCAGCATGCGTCGTTGACAAGTTCACTTCCTTAATGAAACGTTTGCATGTTCTTTACGATGTCTGCCTTCCTCCAGGGTGTGCAAATCTCGAAGCACTTTTGTGGCATTATTATGCCACGAAAATTGCAACTATCAGCACTAGCTGCCCTCATATTTATCAGTTATTGGTAGGTTTTGATCTTGATTTTATTAGGTTTCCGTTCCAGTTTCAACTATTACGTGACTTTTATGTTCGTATCCTTCAAAGTAAATATCCGATGTATAGTGAAGATTTTTTTTTTAACCGTTTTTTATATACTCTTCTTGGCTCTTGTCGTCTCATCTGCAGAATAGCCGAGTTTTTGACTTGTCATTTTTGAGGCGAAAATGTAGCCTAAATATTACACTCAGTGGTACCTTCACTTACTTTTTTAATTTAGGAAAGTCATCTCACTAGCATTTCATGGCATTTATTTTGGCCCAACCTGATTCATTTGTCTGCAATGAAAAAAGTTTTAAGTGAATCTTCACCTGACTGCGGTTCCTTTGTTACTCAAGTTTTCATACGAGTTCCGTGGCAGACAGTCATCCAGCAAGAAGTCAGTTTTGAGTAAAGTTTTCTCATTTATTACATATTAATTCTTAAAATGAGTTGAAAACTTAACAGTTAGTTCTCTATTGGGTTCTTTATGTGATTTCTTTATTTATATTAAATTATGGTATGCGTGGAATGTATTCAATCTTTTTAAATTTAGTTAATTTGTTCTAGACTCTACAGCAACCTGAGGATGGTATTCGTGCTTTGTTTGGGTTGCTTTTATCTATAATTACTCGTTGTGTCAGTAATCCAGGCAATTATGCAGTAAGTTAAGGCTTCTCATTGAATTATTAAGTGATGTTGAGAAGTTAAAGTTTTCCGTTAACTGTTTAGGCTTGCCCAGCTTCGCTTCCAAAATTGTTTACTGCTCTTGCTGGTTGCGACTGGAGCTTGATTAAAATTGATGACCTCAAGGCAGAATCTGCATACATGATTACGTATCTTCCTTCATCTTGCATTACACAACCAAATGACGTTACAGCTGGATTTTTCACGTAATATTACTTTTTTTGGTCAACAGTATTGCAGGTTTTCTGGACAAAATATTTTTATAGTTGTTCGCTATTGGTTGATTGATTTACTTTGGAATTTTAGTTTACGGAGTTTTTTTGGATCAGATTCAGTTTTGGCGTTGAGAGCCTAGTATCTGCTGCTTGTTTGCTGCCTGAGTTTAATGAGAGACTTAATGACAATTCTGCTCTGATTACTCTTTTTTCCAATAAATTTAAGTTCAGGTTACTTCGACATATCTGCTTCTATTCGACAATTCCTGCTGACATAGTTCCTCTTGAAGAAGAGTACAAGAAGCAAGCGATTTATTTACGTACTCGGTTGAGATTAATGCTGCGTAATGTGGTCGACGTAAAATGGGCAACAAAGTTTTATTTGGATGAAGTTGCGATTTCGAAGGCTATTATTGCTGCAAGAAGTTGTTTTTAAGAATTATGTTCTTTTAAGTTGCTAGTCTGTAATAATTTAGTTTCAACTAGAGTTTTTTGTAATTAATTATTTGATTATCTATTACTCAGTTTTTCTTTTTGATTTTTTTTGTCTAATTAGGTTGCTTGTAGCTCTACATCACGGATTGTGTTGACTAGGACTTTTTCTTGTTACGAGTGTTATTGGTTATGCAGAAAGAATTTAATTTTTGTTGAGAAACGGTGTTCTTTTGTGAAATGATATATTTTAATATTTTTTACCGCGTTTTGTAAGTAGTTTGTGACGTACAATTGCAGAAGATTTTTCTCAGCAGCCGCGGTTTCTTTCGGAGGAAATAACATCTTGTTGGTCCACCATCAATGACGTTAAACTTGGAGGTACTCTTATATGTATTTCTATCCCGTTTCTTTTTTGAAATTCGTTTTTTAGAGGCTCTGGTAACTAATTTGTGTGAATGGATGGAAAAGAATAACGAATCTCATTTGGTTTTGTTGGTTATGTACACAGTTGTGGGGTCATTATATGAAAACCAGATTGTGACGGGTCTTAAAGTTGTGGAGAAGTGTATTGCCGCATTTTTTCACCGTAAGGGACACTTTTAATCTCCTTATCTTTGAGGATTTAGTTCTGCAATCACTTTTTCTTCTTTGAAACTTCGCTAACTTTTAGATGAACAAGAAGAATATGGGATGATTTTTTTTTTTTTTTTTGTTTTAAAGACTACTTTTTCTCAGGTGCCAGTGAATGCAAGTGGGAAACTGTTGTTGAGTGGGCTGTTCTGCCTGAGTCATGTCAGACCTATTTATACACGATCCCGAGGTTTGTGTCGACTTTTTTTTTGTTTCGTAGTTTTTAATTAGTATTTCTTTTATCATTCATTTGTGGTATTTGTGAACGTCCTCAACAAACATGTTTAATCTTTAAACTATTTATAAGTCTATCTCTTCTTCAGTTCTGAGAAACCAATAACGCCATTATTGCTCACTTTGAACGTATATTTGCTTCAGCGACTTCGGAAATGCACCTCAGCAGCCGAAGAAACTTTGCTTCTGAAAAAATTTCTCGATTACATGACAAATTTGAAGCCAAAGTAAATTTTTGCTGGATTTTTTGGATGGTTCCGCGTCGTTTTAAATGCCGTTTCAAACAAATGTGAGTAGTATATTTTCATTTCAGGTATGTTGAAAATGAGGCTGCGTTTATTGTTTTACTTGATAAGCTGCAGAATCTTGTCATTCGCCAGTATGGTTACAGTGTTAAAATGGGATCTGAGTTTCTAACTCGTTATTTAGAGTGGCTGGAAAAGACAGTTACGGAAGAAAAAAATGCGTTTTTTTTATCAAAGCTTCTTGCGAAGAAACAGTCATTTCCGCAAAGGTCAGACGATTTTTACTCCAGTTCTGTAATATTATATCAACTTGTTACCTGAACAGTTTAAAGCACATGACTCATGGGAAAATTAAGTTTTAGCTTTATACTTGTGAAATTCAATTCAATTAACAATTGCTTGTCTGTTTTTTAATGAAGCAGAAGATCAAAAAGTGTGAATCTTTTTTGGATATTTTCTGTCTGTTGTATCCTTACCAATTGTTTTAGTTTTTTAGTGTTTCTTAACTAGGTGAAAAACTAATTGACAAGTGGTGCTGAGAAAAAATACACGAAGTTTTGTTGTACCAGTCGCGAAAGGGAGTGCAAGAGTCATTTTATACGTCTCAGAAGAATAAAAGCAAAAAGAGTTCATCATTGAAAAACTTTTGGTTTTGTGCTCCAACATTTGTAGGTGCTTAAACTACGTTTTTTCAATGGTAAACTTTTTCGTAGAAGTAGTGCCACATTAGTAAACCAGTTTTAACCAAGTATAATATCAGAATATCATTGGATTCATTTGCTACAAGTGAGAGGTAGCAATTAACTTCAAAGGCACATAACCGATATGTCAAGAGATAGGTCTTAATCAATGCTTTCTTAATTTTGCAACGGATAAAGACAAAAACTATGACAGTTATTAAAGTCTGATAGATATGCGAGAGATATTAGGGTGCTGTGAGATTGTTCCGAAGAAAAAGTGCATTGCAAATTTTGTGCAGCGTGACCAGGTTTTTAAAAAAAATAGATTTAACAGATTAACCGGTTACATTGCTTGGTTTTAAGGTCGCTAATAGCTGTTCTGAACTTTGTTGGTAGACTAATGAATAAAGTGAATTAGAGTAAGTAAATAAGATAATGAAGTAAAATGAATTGGAAGCTCTAAACTTTGATGGCTATGAACGGTGAAGTGTGGAACCCTTGTCCAAGTATGGTGGGTTTGGTAATGAAGTAGTAAATGACAGTGAGTCACGCACTGAACTTAGAGCTTGATAATTTTTAAGTAGTAACAGATCCATTTTGCCTGTGAAGACCTGTACTAAAAATGTGCTTTGGAAATATTATTGCTTTTTAAGAAAATTATTGAACTCATGTCAGGTGGTGGTTTGCAAACCGCTTAACCCACGGTGTATTTGGACCAACCGTGTGCATCATGTATATTGCCTTTACGGTTTCTTAGAAAGCAAAACTTTTTTGCTTGCTTCTTTTACACTTTTTAGACCGAGCACGGAATTAGAATTTGTTGCAATTTGTTGCATTATTAGTAATAATTGTTCAGCTTAAAGGGGAAGAGCAGTTGTAAAGGAGAGCATTTGTATAAGATGTTACATGCCTTATTGAAGAAACAGTTATTAGGTACTCGTTAGTTGCTCTAAAGGAACCAGAAAATTGACAGACTTTTTATGTAGCATACAGGTTGCTCAGCATAGCCGCTTAAGTTGAACACATTTTCTAATAGCGGAGGTGTACAGTAAGGGAAAGAGTCTCACGGAACGTGTTGGAACTTTTAGAGAAGTGTCGTTTCGCAAGTGGCTAGAAGCGTCCACACTACCCTTCCACGGTGAATCAGAAAAAGAAAAAAAAAAA